CGCCCGCCCCCGCCGCGCATCCCCCGGCCCCGCCGCTCCGGACACCTCTCCTGGGCCGGCCGGGGGCGCGGAGCTGGGCTGGGTTTGCTGGGGGTTTGGTTTGGGTTTGTTGCTTTTTTTTAATCCCTTTTTTTTTTTTCCTTTTTTTTTCTTTTTTTTCCCTTTTTTTTTTCCTCTTTCTTTCCCCCCAGTTCCTTCAAAACCCACCCCCAAACCGACCCCCAAACACAACACGCTGCGAGAACAAACGAACAACAAACAAACAAACAAACAAACAAACGAACAACCGGCCGCGTCCGCGGAGCGGGAAGGAAAAGTTTTCTCCGGGGGTCGGAGCAAAGCGGGGAGGGGAGAGGAGCGGGAGGTTCCCCGGGGCAGCCTCGGAACTGGAGTTTCTCAGCTCTGGGCTGCTCTGCTCAGGGCTGGGATTCCGCCCCCCCACTCCAAAAACTGGTGGGGATTAGTGGGTCTGGGGAGCCCCCCCCTACCCGTGCTCAGGACCCTCAGGCGGGTGCTCCAGCCTGTTCCCTCTGTACCTCGGTGGGTCCTTTTGTTCCCGACTCTGCTGGCACCTCCTCAGGAAAACCTCTGCCTCCCCCATCTCTGCCTACCTCAGTTTCCCCAAACTGGTAAATGAGGTTGGGCTGCTCAGGGCCATGCCTGGTGCTGCTGGGATTGGAGGTGGCAGTGTCACTGCTGTCATCAGATGTGAGAGCAATGGTGTGAAAATCAGATTTCAAGCACTATCAGCACTTCCCAGGTGAACCAACCTGGTGGTTTTCATGTTTGCTCCCACGCTGTGTGCAGAGCTCCCATGGAACCCGGCAGGACATTTTCGAGGCTGTTCTGATTTAGTTTTTGTTTTTAATAACAACTCTGTCTTTTCCTGCATTGCAAAATGTACAAAAAGAGGCTGAACTGCTCTGGAGCTGAACCAGCTGGTACCACGGGGTGCTGCCCCCACTGTGTGGTGAGGGGTAAGAGGAAGGTGCTGAGATGTCACCTCCATGGCCACATGTAAAAGAAGCAGGTTGGGAGGAGAAAACGAGGCAGCCTGGGACACAAAGTGGTACCAAATGTACTCAGGATCCTTTGAAAGTTTCTCAAAGCCAAGGAAACGGAGAGGGTCATGAAAGACCTGAAGAACTGCTCTGTTTTCAAGCCACTTTGTTACTGCAGTTTATAGCTTTTAAATTACCCATCCAGGAGGTGCATCCCTGCCCCTTAAAATCCTGCTGCATCCTCCTGAGAGCCAATCAGCACCATCCAGCCCACCTGGCTGTGCCAGGTGCTGCACATCATGGAAAACAAGGACCCTGACATGGACTGAGCCCTGAGTGCTCCCTGCATGGGCAGGGGTGGGTGCAGTGTGGAGTGCAGCACCATGCAAGGCCATGCACCCCTCTTCCCAGCCACAGCTCTCTTCCTACCACAAAGAGCCCTTTTCTGTGCACTCATTACTGAGGGTGAAGCACTGATTGACACCATAATGCCCCATCCCTGGGGAGATCACCCCAGCACAGGTTCCCCCCCCCAGAAGCCAGATCCTTTCCTTTACCTGCCACAGCTCCCGGGCTGCAGCCCCAGCAGGACCCGGTCAGCTTTGCACAAGGACTCATTAAAGCCAGGTCCAAGCCTGGAACTGGCCGTGCTGGTGATGGCAAATGGGGCCACAGGGTGTGCCGGCCCAGCCGGGCCGGGAGGCAGAGCCTGTGAGTCATGTCAGGATCACAGCAGCTCCAGGAGCTGCTGCTGCACATTCCTCCCTGTTTACCTGCTCAGACACCCTGAGCCCGGCTTGCCAGGGCAGATGC